GGGATGGAGGATAAAAACAAAATGGGTGAAGTCACACTGGAAAAGTGACAAAATGTGTTTACTCAGACACGTCGATGAAGAAGAGAATTGGCTGTAGATCTTTAACTTAGCTTCAGTCGGCACATGTTGTATCATGAGTATCACACGTTGTTTCTTGCTTGGGACAAACTGCAGTATTAACAAATCAAGTATTGGGATTGGGACACGGTGGCCATCTTTGTTTTCTTTTTTCTAACATTGGTCAGTCTTACCCGCCCCACCCCAGTTTGCTGTGTTGGTTCTTTTCTACTTTCCCTAAATGCAACTTACTTTGAGCATGCATCAACATCCTGCAGTATGACTAAAACGAAACCAAAAAATAAGTATTAAAATAACCCATTGTCAGCCAGTACCGTCTCTCTCCGATGTACACCCAGACTGCACCGCCGGTTCATGTTTTAAGACTAACATTACTGATAGATTTGCCATCAGAAACACCTGAGAGAGGAGCTCGTCCTGCAGCCGAGTGCCCCTCTCAACAGTGTCTGTTTTCTATTGTGTGCATCTGGTTGTAGTGTGTGCAAAATTTTTAAATGGCTTTGTTCTTTCATCGTAACATTTTTTCATTTGGGTAGTTTTGACTGGTCATATTTTTTTGCATTTATCCAATTGATCACTGGCATTTTGGTTCTGATTATGGTTTTTGGCTTATTAAGTATGTTTGGTTTGTTTTTTTGTCAATCAGATAATATTTAGAACGCAGTGGGATATATTTTTATATATAATTTGACTCTTTTGGATTTGGAACTACTTTAGTGACTAACTTGTGTGTTTTTTTTAATATCCTACGATAAGCTTTCCTGATAAAATATTGTATTAAAAATAGGAGAGAAAATCAAAACCCCAACAGTTGCACAGTCCACTCAACTCCATGCTCTTTGTAGATGTATGCCAAAGCCCACAAAATTAGTAGTTGAAGCAGTTCCAGATCCACTTATCTCATATATCTTCCATTTTTCAGATTTTTTTAAATCAAAACAAATCTTTGCAGAATAACATTTTGAGACAAAAAACAAATGAATTGCATGGCTAAGAAGTTGCAGTTTAGGGTTTGTCAGACTTGTCAGTGTTAGAGTTCTTCTGTTCTTTTCTGTAGATGGGCATGTATATTGCTCATTGTTTGTATATCCCCATCCCTTCCTTACAGCCAAAAGCTCTAATGCCGCCCGACCGCTTCGTACTGCCTTTACATGGACATGGCAACTGACTTACACTATCACCCTCATCACCCTCATTTCCTATGTAGTATGTTCATAGGTCCCACCCCTTCTTCACCTTCTCCCTTGTCTTTAGAGATATTGAAATATAAAGTCATCATCCATTCTACACTAAAGAACAAATGACAATTTAAGCAAAAACTGTAACATGAATAGATTTTAGATACTATTGAAGTCTATTGCAATGGAAAAAATGTAGATACACATTTTTGTAAAAACAAACTATTTACCAGGAAAAAAACAAAACATAAAAAAACAGAATTATGGTGTTTTATTTTTTATGTTATGTGGTGTGGATGTATGTGTTGTTGCCTCCCTGTACCGTCGTGTTTTAAGATAGAACACTACAATGAATAAAAATGATCTTCAACGGTACCTAGCGGCTATCCAACATTCTTACACAACTTTTCCTTTGTAAATTCTTTTCTTCATGCCTAAATCATGCGGGCAATTTGTTGATGTAAGTTGACAACGGCATGTGTCTCTTTCTCTTGTTGAATGGTTTATTTAGAAAGATGCAGTTTGTAAACTCTGAGTGGGGGAACATTGCTTTTATACAACAGTTACACATTGGGCAAATGGTAGAAAAAAGGAATTATCCACAACAGAGAAGTATTTTTTTGCTCCACCAAGTCAACTACTGTAGTGCCACAACTTTACTGAAACTGTGCTGTTGCCAAGCAACCCCAATATTATCCTGGACCCTTGGTTCCTAATGACAAGTACCAGGTTGCACCAGCTACTGTATCTGCACATCCAAATGTCACCTATGGTTCTATTTTACGGCGGCGTTTACACTCACACTTAGGTGTATTATACCAACTGAGAGGGGGAGGGAAACTGACATATCTGCGACAGTGTTTTTGTGTTAGTTTGGATGTTATGCTTTTCAAGTTAAGATAAACACGGCAACTGGTGCAACCCAAGAATGACACAACTTTAAGTTAGTTCAACGTAGGGTTTAGTGTCAAACAAACACCCACACTTAAAGGAGCAATATGTAACTCTAACAGGTAGTGTTTAAAATGGGTACTGAAAAAACATTAGAGCCAGCTGTCTTTCCACCGCCCCCTCCTCTCTAAAGTTGATACTCACACAGGTTGCCTTGTCGCGGCAAGGGAAGCTTCAGTGTTTAGCCAGATCGGCATCAGTCGGTAAACCTTTGTGCGTTCTAACTTTCTCTACAATTTTTGAATAGCATATCCAATATTTATCCTCATTCTACCACGTTTCTGCTCATGGAGCTTATTAGAAAAAATGACATGGCTTTTTAAGTTGGGTGGAACCAGCACTATCTGAACCAGTTCAGTCAGTATGAAGATTCCCAACAGGTGTGGTTGTGTGTCTTGAGATTAACTGTAATATAAGGATGAGTTTGTAGAATAGGAAACTGCAGCACGTTTATAAGTAAAGAAATTAGTTCCATGCCAGTATCCTCGGAGGAGTTACCAGAATGTTTTCAAAAACCATGTAGTGGCTGAACCAGTTCTCTTAAGCAACCACTACTACTCTTATCAACACAGACTACAGCCCTTTATTTTAGAGTTCACAAACTGCATCTCAGATCAAGCTGAAATGACCTGAATGAGTTTTAATAAAATTCTACTGAAATGTCTAATAAACTTGCCTTTGTTTGATCTGTGGTTGTGCGCCTGCAAATGTGTGTGTTTATGCTGACTGTAATCTTAATATGATTTTAATCTGAGAATGTGCTTTAAGAGTTGAGTATGCAGCTACTTGATTTCTTTTTTATGTCAATGGCTCTTTGAATGTTCACTCCAATGATACTTGCTTGACAAAACTTTTCTACAGGTGACTCAAACTTTAACGACAGTCTTGAAAAAAATGCATTTATTTATAACTAAGGAGGCTGGCTTAAATTGCTCTTGGTACTGTGAGATGCATTTTTACTAACTTCATTGTCAGCAATGATTTTTTTTAGGAAGCCCCATGGGTAAATGCTGAATAACCACCAGAGGTTTTGTCATGCTTATTATTGTGTAGAAATGAACACTACTCTTTACAATTGGTAAGTCAAAAGTAAGAAAGAAAGATGATTAGTCATTATTTGCAGTTTGGATAGAGTCTCTGTTTTATCTTTCAGACCTACCTCAATCAGAATGTAGTTTATATCAAAGTATGCTAGTTTAAGTGTTTGAGGATGGAGCATTATTCTCCAACTAAAAAGTGAAGCTTTTAATAAATATTGGATGTAGGCCAATATATCACAAAGAGTGAACATTCAGGGGATTTTTCTGCCATTGATGTTGTATGCACGTATAATTAAAGTTATAGTTTATCAGTTTTCTCTTGGCTACAGAATCTTTGGAAAGAATCGCTAGCAATTTAAGAACAAAACAAGGAACATACAATACAGACCTTTTTTAATCTTGCCAAGAAACAGCATGTTGAAGTCCAGAAAGAGAGGCCAATAAAGAAGAAGAGTGAAACAAGGAATTGATAATTTACCATTTCAGTTTCTTCTGAAAGAAATTCTTTCTACACTCCTTTTAATTTTTTCTATCTTGACCTTCCTATGAATGCACGAACAGCCATTTGGCTTCATTCCTGAAATTTGAACAAATTTGGTCCAAACTTTTCATACAGTGAGTTTAAACTTGCCAACTAATTTGTGCAAATTAGATCAATCACGATGTGTAATTTTTTTCCTTAAGTTCACCACTTATGGTTTGAACATTTCCTCTGTATAAGTATTTGCGTGCTTTATAATTGTGTTGACAAATTATCCAAAATATGAAGCTGTCTTCTAAGTTACAAGAAATCACTTCTCATTGAAAAATGGTTTTACTCATTTGTCTATAAGAACTTAGAAATTCAACATTTTTTCATTTAGCTCGTTACCTTGAGCCTCTTACTGAAACTTAACTCTACAATAAAAATCTCTGACTTCCCAAAGAGCTCTGTACCAAAGAAATGTTTGTTGACCAGCTACAGCACTATATATTTATATTTTCGTTATTAAATTTGAAAAGCCAATTTTTTTCTTTAAATAGTCGATGCCTGTTTGTCTGTTTTTCATTTCCAATAAATGAAGTTTAGTAACTTTTAAAAGTCTCCCTGCTTTACTCTAACATGACTCTGTGTCTGTTTCAAACCTCAGGAGCTGAGTTAGTCATCCCAATACTTGAGGATCCATTAGCGCACCCCTCTGTAGCTCCTCGTGCACCCTTCATTCCCACTCCCTCAACCCACCACCCACTCCTCACCATTATTGAGACCACCAAAGAGTCCCTGTCCAAGGCCACTGAGGCGGGGGTACCTTGCTTGTCGGACCGAGGCAGCGATGATTGTGATGATGATGGCTTGGTGATATCGGGGTATGGCTCTGGCGAAGCGTTCAAGTCTAACCTGCCCCCCCTACCGATGATGAAGATTTTTACACGACCTTCTCCTTGGTAACAGATAAGACCTTGTCCACGTCAGGCTTTGAAGGTGGCTACAAAGCTCACGCACCCAAGACTTTTAGACCAAACAAACCTTCAGTCTCCAGACGCGGTAGGACTACCACTACCGCCGTACCACTAACCGCCGACCAGAGCCGCACCACCGCCACCTCTGCCTCCACCGCAACCCTCCACAATGCTGGCAAAATGAATAACCGCGAGCTAAAAAAACCCCAGCCCGACCTAGTGTTGCTTCCATTGCCCACATCCTTTGAGGTAGACAGCACCAAGCAGAGGGGCCCATTAATAACCTCCCCAATGTTCCGTAATATACCCACAGCACTCCCCACAGAGCCGGGCGTCAGGCGAGTCCCAGGGCCCTCGGAAGTGGTCCGTGAATCTAGCAGCACCACCGGGATGGTCATCGGAATAGTGGCGGCCGCTGCCCTGTGCATCCTCATCCTCCTGTATGCCATGTATAAGTACAGGAACAGGGATGAAGGCTCCTACCAGGTGGACGAAAGCAGGAACTACATAACCAACTCAGCCGTGCAGAGCAATGGCGCAGTCATGAAGGACAAACAGCAGAACTTGAAAGGCAGCAACAAGAAACAGAAAAATAAGGATAAGGAGTATTACGTGTGACTGTGAGACTTTCATGAAGAAAGCGCTAAAGAGAACACTTACTTATCACTTTCCTTGTGAGGAGCTATGACAAATGATGGTATTACGTGGAACTTGAATAATCCTATACTGTGCTGAGTAGTTGAACTGATGATATGTACTGTAATATAAAGCACACTTACTATTGTAAGCATAAAGAGAAGGCTAAATAGCAACTTTAGAGACCTTACTCTTCTATCTGGTCAGAGACGTTATCAGTATAGAAAATATTTCACAGCTACATCATCTCCTAAGTGACTTTTAGAGCTATGTGATCCTTGGCATCAAACGAAAAACTTTTTTGTAAAATTGTTAATTACAAAAGGCTCATAATCTTCTACATTTTCAGCATGTAAGCAACATGTAGTGCTTAACAAGAGGGGGTCAGGCACACCATCATTGTAAAACTAAAAAAAGAACTCTTGTTGTATCCGAATATGGCACATTTTTATGGTTTATACATAATACAAGTGTGGTGTCTAACTTTTTTTTTTTTGCTTAAAGCAAAACTGAAAAAAATGAAAAAAAGAACAGCAAGTAAAGAAAACTATATCTGTGTATAAAATGATACCAAGTCAGCAAAAATTGCTGTGGGGCAGATCTCGCAGAATCTGTCCTCTCTGGAGTCTGATTCACCACAACTACTGTCATCGTCAGAAGGATAGAGGGACTCACTTTGTGGAAACAAGTTGCCGTTTCTCTTGGTTAAAGAGCAACTGATTGTAAGATGCATGCCATCCTGATTCTGCAGTAAAGTACGGTACTGTAAAAGTCCAGTATGCATTGTTCAACTGGGACCATTTAATGCCAAACAGTTCGTCATCATCAGATCAGAACTTAGCCCCACCCCCCCTGGGTTGAACCCCTCAAAAAAGTTAACTATGGAAAAAAACAAATCTCTTTAAGAAATGGTCTATTATTGATGCACAGCCGGTTGTGGTTTTATCTTTTTTGAAAAACTGTATGTTGGTTCGTTGCCTCTCGTTCTCTTTTCTATGAAGGTGTCAGGAGGAGGACAAATGCAGTACTACAACACTGTTAACAAATGTGTACACGGAAATAAATCAAATGTTGAAAGTGTGAATTCTATCTGCTGTCACAGTCAACTGTGTCAAAAAAACAACAAATTTGTTTACATATTTTATTACATGCTAGCTGTTGTACTTTGTAGGTAGGAAATTGTACATATACCATGACAGTTGTAATTTTTAGTACCTCTATTGTACAGACTGAACATATGGTTTATCAGCGTATTTCATGACAGAAATCTATTAACTGTTAATTTACATGGAGAAAAACTTTAATCAGAATGTGGAGAATCATATTGATATTTCATAAAGAATAAAGATGTATTGTTAGCCTAGAGATCTAACCAGAGATGTTTCTAAAGTTGCATGAATATTTAACTACTTGCAGTTGTCCAGCAAATACAAGGTGCCCTTCTTTCTGTATCATGGCTTTTGTGTTCTGGGTTACACAAGTGTCATTTATTTTTTTGAAAGAGAATAAAGTCAGAGTTATGACAAAGATATAAAGTAAAAGAGGCTACAGTGGATGGGAGTTCACAGTTGAAAGAGACGTATATTATATCAAGTGGATCTGGTCACCTCAAATTATGCTTTATCACAGTTTTATCATGAGATAACATTTTTATGATATTTTGCTCTTTATTTATGTTTTCATTAACTGCCATTGTCGTTCAAACGTGCGGAGGTGTGCCGTCTTATTCTGCCTGAGATTCACATTTTTGTGTTATATCAATGTTACTTTTCATAATCTTTTTTTTTTTATCATCAGTTTGATAACAAATAAAACATTTTTTTTTTTTCCTCTGAAATAATACTGTACTCCTTGGATAAATCAAGTCACCAAATGCTCACACATTTCTAAGTCCTTCCAGGATTTTACCAACTGTTGTGGCCTAAAATGCCTGATTTTGCAGATGTTTTTTTTTTTTTAATTTTTAATGTTTTGAATCTTGTTTTGAGCAGCATAATACACATCTACTGGGAGCAACTGGGACAGACACCCCAATGAAAGCCATCCATTATCTCTGTTTGTCTTCTGACATCACTCTGGCTATTTCTTTAGCGTCAGGGTGCCAAATAAAAAGTGTAAAAATTCACAGACTGAAAGAGGAGATAAAATGGACAAATTAATCAGGAAGGCAACTGAAAAGGGTACATTGAGTGGCTGAAATTGCAAAATCATGGAGGAATGGATTACTGAACCACTTTGTCACATGATCATGACACTTGAAGGGGAAAAAATAAAAATGAGGCAGCTTCATAGCTCCAGCAATCTTTGTTTAATAGTGAGAAGCTGGGTGTTCGGGCTCGTAAAAGAGCACTTTGGATTATGCTGTATAAAATAAATGCATTCTGTTCATATTTGATATAAAGCCAATTTGGTAGTTGTGGTTTTGGTGGTGAGCCTACTTCTCACTGCACCTCAGTGAACACTTTCCTAATGAGTTTGTTTTCTCAATCTCTAGTTTCAAGTCTTCAACACAGCATGATGTTCATGTTGTAAATAATGGTCCCAATTAGAGTGAGATAGACAATAAAGAAGTGTGTGCTTTAGGGAATGTTACCTGTGATTGACAAGTTGGTAAAATGGCCTTTTCAATAAGAATAGAGACACACAGCCAAACCATCCTCCTACTTAGTGTTGTTCTACTTGAAATAGGTCTTGGCCTCAAGACTGGTCTCGAGACCACTTTTTTAAGGTCTCATCTCAGAATCGAAAGTGTTTTTACTCAGCCTTGTGTCGGTCTCAGACTCAGATATGTCTCGCTCTGTCTTGGTCTTAGCTCTGTCTAATTGTCTTGGTCTGATTTTGGTGTCGGAGCACTCCAGCCTCGGGCATGTCTTGGTCTCTGTTAAGTGTGGTCTTGACTACAACACTACTCCTACCCAAGAGTCAATTCTGGCAACAAAAAAACAACAACAACCAAACAAAACTTAGTGTAGTCCACAAATAAATGATTGATATCATATTAATTTCTTATATATAATCCATAGACTGTAGTAGACATGGATATAGCCTCATTGACTTCACCAAGTAGTTTCTGAAAAGGCGTCATGGCAGGGTCACCATAATGGAAATGCTATCTACACCCAACTTTTGATGAATCCAGATACTGGAAAAAAGGTTGGCCTAAAGGTACAAATGCCCACCTGTCAGTCAACCCAGTCATGCTCCTAATTATGCAAATGAATGCATCAGTTTTAGCCACGATATATCAAAACAGATGAATTGAGACCAAATGTTGTTTGACCCAGGCTGTAAATATGACAGTTTCTTCTAAAAATCCTAGACTGTATAAAAAATGGATGTAATGTCAATGATGTCACCCATTGGTTTGTAAATGGATATTTTTAGCCAATCAGTGGGGACACCAAATTGGAATTGCCATCTAGTACTAACTTCCGACCAAGCTTGTATCGGGCAAAAGGGGTGGAGCTGAAGTGGGTCTTAAGCCGCTTGACAAACAGTTACAAAGCACCGCCTGTCAGTCAAATCAGCCACACCCCTTATTATGAATAACTCTTAATTATCATAAAATCAGAATGGATGAGTTTTACAGTTCTGTAATCCATACCCAGTACAATATGTGCCAATAAAACATGAGCTATTCAGACCAAAATTGTGATTGAACCAGGCTGTAAACTTGTTTATTTCTGTTGTAAAAAATGGCCATTTTGGAATGGGTGTGTATGTGACTTCCTGGGCTTTCGCAGCCAGCTTCAAGTGGACACTTAAGGAACTGCAGGTTTTCATCAGAGGCTTCTGTTTGGTGTAATCTAAGGTTCGTATAATGGTGAAAGTGGGATAGAAAGAGATAGAGATATAAATATAAGGCAAGAAGCTTTAGTAATGTAAATTTTTAACTGACCAAGCAAAAATAAATCTAAACCAGAGTGAAAACACAATAAGTAAAAACATTCTTATGACAGCTGCTTTTGTGGCATGTGTGATTCTGAGGACCATCAGGTGAGGATGTGAAATGGCAGCTCACTTCTTCTTCAGATGTTGCAGTGACGGAAATGGGCAAGTGAACTAGTTAAGATATAACTGATTCTACCTGACATAAAGAGCCTAGACTTTTTTGTAATGAGCTCCACGACCATATTGCTCCTTCAAGTAAGAAATAGCAAATAAATGATTTAAATGAATCATTTTTACGCTGATGACATTGTGATGTACTGCTCAGCACCCACTCCAGACTAAGCTCTCTCACAGTTACAACTTGCTGTGTACACTGTTCAACAACATTTGTATTTAAAACTTATTTTAAACGCAGACAAAACCAAAGTCATGACGCTTTCTAATGCAAAATCTAAACCATCTAACCTCCTTTTGATCTCCCACTCTCATGGTATCAAATTGAGTCTTTTTTGATACGGTATCTTGGTATATTAATTGATGAGTCTCTCTCTTTTACACCTCACATTCAGCAACTGGTAAAAAGGTTAAAGCGGAAACAGGGATTAAGAATAGAATTTTGCCTCTCTTTTGTATCTTACCCAACATGTCCTTGCAGGCCCTACCTGGGTTAAAGTGGGCTTCATGGGTACCGACGGGGCATTGGCTGAAACTAGGCAAATTTTGTGGGCCCCATATGGGTTCAGTAACATGGGTCCCACATGGAAAGCCCATGTGGGCTGACTACATGGGCCCCATAATGGATATATGTGGACTAAGTGGGCATGGGTTGGAACTCGGTAGCACTATATGGGATCCATATGGTTTCAGTACCATGAATCCCACATGGAAAGCCCATGTGGGCTGAATATAAGACATTAAATATGCGCTAATTTGCATATATTTCCAGTGCAAAACTCTGAACATTGGATGAAGCAAATTTCAAAGATATTTTTTTATTTTGTTGCTATATTAGATTAAAAGTTTTTTTTACATAAGGTAAATTGGGATATCTCCTTTTACAATTTCATGAATCAGAAAATATTGTCAAAAGCCAGAAAAAATAAATGTTTTCGTCATGTTTTTAGGAAGAAAATGTTTTATAAATCACGGTATGAATGATATTTACATACCCCTTTGCACTGACAAAAAAATGAGCTGAACTAGTGAAATATATTGGGTAAACTTCTTGCCAACTACAATGAAGGAATATGAGAAACAACAACTTCAACTTAAAAAAATGTTTTACTTAATACGCATGCGTCCACATTATCACGTCATGACGCTCTATGTCACGGACTCTCAAATTGAGGAGAGATTTTGGCTGCCATCTTTTTAGGTGCTGCGGTACAAGCCACTATCAAGTAAGTATCTGAAATGTATTCAATTTAGTTAATTGTTGTCTTATAATAAAATGTATCTAATCTAATATATGGTTAAGACGATCTTTTCCCATTACTTTTATCAACAATTTTTACCTGTTTGGACTACATTACCGTGTGAGCTACTCGTGCTAGCTCACTAACCGTTAACTAAGTGTTGTCTAACCAAAAGCCACTTTCACAACAGTATAATGGTGTGTCAGAACGCACATCGCTCCTCGACTCAAGCATGTTCCTGCAGTGCCTGTGCATCTGCTCACATCAAAGGGTCTAACTGTCATTCCAAAAGCAACTATTTTAAATACGCAACATTAAGGGTCCCTTGCTAATTCCTTTAAAAAATGCTGCATGTGGTTTGTGGTTTAAATATTCATTGAAGGTAACTGCTACTGTGACTATGCAGACAAATTATTGAAATGTTATGAGAAGAACTTTCTTAAGATATATGGATCTTATACATCTGGCTGAAGATGCAAGAATGTTTTGTGCCCTAGACAATGTTTTGTGTTTCCCTTTCAAAATTTATCTGGGGACATTAAAGCGGCTTGTAAGAAGGCCCCAAAATCCTGTTCAACAAGTTGTACGGCGATTAAATTAAAAAACGACCACTCTTGACAACATGAGGGAACTATTATTTCATACCCTCAAGGCAATAACTGTTTTGATGTTGAGAACAGAGTTGCTGTATTTGTGTTTGTGTGTGTATTTTGAAGACACATATGGAGATGTTCGACACAAGCTTGCACAAGCAGAAGCAGCATCTGATCTCCAAACAGACAATGACATGCCAAAGAAGCGACGAAGTAGGTAATTTAAATGTATTCAAACCATTAAGGGTCAAACTTAAATTATGCAAAACATAGTACATTATTTTAAGGGATTGTGTTAAAAGGGGTTAAACAGGGTTTGCTGTTTCTGTCTTGGCCAGCACAAACCCCCCCCCACCCCCCAAGTTCACAGCTCACAATACTGGAAAAAGGACTAAGTTCTCATGGTAATTCTTTCTTTTTAGTTTGTTACAGAGGTATTTAAGACGTGCAGAGTTGATTTGAAAACTTCCTCTGACTGTTTAGAAACAACAAAGTGTTCCGTCAGTAACCTAGCAACAGTTGCTGAACTACAGTTCCTTTGTTCTGTTTAAGGGGCAGAAGGAAACTTGAACATGGAACCAGCCACAGTTTACACTACAAACATAACATTCTCCTCACAGACTATGGC